GGAAAGATGATAATACGATTATGCAAATATATATATATATATATATATATATATATATATATATATTTAATTCAGTTTACTCATAGAGGGAAAAATAAATACAAATATTTTCTTTTTTTTAATGTTTTATATTGGTAACACCATTTGTTAACACTAGTTAAGTAAATGTATTAAAATGAATTAACAATGAAAAATGTGTCTAAATTAACAATGTTAATTTCAACATTTCTAATACATTATTAAAATCAATATTATGACTTGAGCTGAGATGAATTAACATTAAAAACTGTATTTTTTACTAACTAACGTTAACAAAGATTATTAAATAACAAATGAAATGCTAATTGTTATGTTAGATTGTTGGTAACCTTACAGCTGACGGTACCCGTTGACTTGGTAGGAAGTCAATAGGTGCTGTCAGCTGTCAGGTTACTGACATTCTTTAAAATATCTTCTTTTGTGTTCAGCAGAAGAAAGAAACTCACACAGGTTTAAAACAACTTGAGGGTGAGTAAATGATGACAGAATTGTCATTTTTGGGTGAACTATCCGTTTAACTGCTTTCACCTGAGGGTTCGGCAACACTGCTTTTGGTAGTAATTTGTAAGTGATTTTCTATAATTATAATTCATCCTTGTAGATGCAGTTGATAGTGGCAGAGCTCAAGCCTGAAGCTACTGGGGAACCTGCTCTGTTTGACAGCGCTGATAACGAATAATGAATATTATTAGCCTGCCTTTGGTCCAGAGCTGCCTAAACACACACACACACACACACACACAGTCAAGAAGTGATTACAAAAGAAGCTGCATTGGAACAGAAAATGAGGTAAGAAATTACAGAGAGTGATAAAGATAGCAGTTGTTCGCAACCAGGGGGCCGGGGCGGGGCCCATATGGGCCTTAGCAAACATGGGGGCCCTTATAAGTCTTAAAAATATGTAAATTGTTAAATTAACGAATTAAAAGGCTACAAATAAAAAAATACACATTTTCATCATTAATAATTAGTATCTAATCAGACAGTAGCCTATGTGATTTCAGACGTAGCTTGAGTGTTTAATTTATACTCAGTCCCATCGCGGAGCTTGAGTCGACTCGAGTGATTCATTGAACACTGATTCATTTTAGAAGGAATCGCGATGTTGCTTGGAGACGCACAACTGTTAGCTGTGGCTTTTGAAAGTATTTTCGTTGGCAAAAGCAAAATTTGTCCAGAACCTGCAAAATTGTGTTTAACATGTAAGTAAGGCTACTCAATATTAATGTCTTGCTTAAAAATAACAAAACAACAGCTTTTCAGTCTTTTGTTTACATCACAGTCTAGCAAAAGCAAGCATTTCTGCTTAGCATACTGTCTGTCGGTGGCAGATAGTTTAAGGGCTGGTTCATAAAAAAAAAAAAAAATGTTTCGTTTTGAGTTTCACTGCAAAACGTTGTAAACTTGAACTGTTTAGCTGTATAAAAGTCGTCTTCGACAGCGCGTGTGTGAATCATGCAGCAGCTCGTCGGTCTCAGTTTCACAACAGTGACAGTTAACTGACTCCGATAAAGTGAGGGAACAACAGGATTCGCAACCGTGGGTTTTAGATTACATAAGCAGCTGTGTGTCATTTGTCAAATATGTTTGTCTTATTTAATATAGTTCACACATCACGTCTCATAATAGCGCTACTACTTTATTTAGGCTCTTTCTTACGTCTCACGCTTTTAAACGCAACACGTTGATGCATTCACGTGCTATCGAAATTATTGTAAATACGAGTTATTTTACAAATTGGACATGGACGCCCTCTCAAATTGTCACAAACTTTAAGATCATGCATAGAAGATCATTAATGATCGCTGCTGTGTTGGTGGTATTGTTTATTAGTTTTTACCACAACAGCTCGTCGCCTTGTCCGACCTTAAATAGTTAATTTACAAATAATAATTTTAAGTGTATAGCCATACTGTAGCCTAATCGTACAGAGAAAAAATAGCCTGTTGACCAAAATTCCAGAATGTTATGGTTCACAATGATTGGGACATGATATTTGGCTTTAATAAATTAATTGTTGGCTTTAATGGATTCATTTTCCCACTTAATAGGCAACAAAGCACTTTTGAATCATGCAACCTCGTAATGACGACTTCAGAAGTGAGTCGGAAATTTCTGATAGCATGTGGCACCATTAGTCCTAAATTCTAGGATGGAATAAAGGGCACAAAACTCCCATTACCGATAGAAGGATGTGTGATAGATATTACATTAACTCTTTTGCACTTAACATCGGAGTAAGGGTGGAGTTTATCATTCGAAGCTTTTGGGGCTATGGTTGCATTGCAAGGTAAGTGCAGAACACCACATAAATACTGCAATCCAGATTAGATATCTCTCCTAAATGTGAATTGATCTAATCTGGATTACAAAGGCTCATTCTGGAGAGAGCATTTAAAGTTCAAAGCCATTTTCCAGTTCCCCTCGCATTGCACAGTGTTGTTGTTATTAAACGGCTCCAACTCTCTGAAAAGACCAAGATTATATTTAATCCACCCTGCCCATTAGACTGAGTAGGATTGGTTATGGAGCAAATTCTGATCTTTAACATGTAATCTCCTCGCTTTGTGCTCTTCACTACACCACACTGTATGGGAAAGCCTAAAGCCTAGGTCGTGTCTTAAATGAATAACTCTAGAAAGCAAGCGCCAGGGCATTCGTCAGCTTCCTGGCACTCAGACAGTGATAGATAAATGCAACCTTTAACTTCTGATGCCTCAGCACGAGGAAGAGGGAAAAGAGGTAGGCACTTTTCTCTATTACCAAGAAAGAATAGGAGGGAATGAGATTGTGGATAAACAGTTATAGAGAGAGAGAGAGAGAGAGAGAGAGAGAGAGAGAGAGAGAGAGAGAGAGAGGCAACTTTACTATGGAAACTATTTGTCCAGCGCTTCCTTTCTCCCATGCCTTGATCTACCCTATACTCCCTTCATCATCTTCTTATTTTGTTTTCTGATTTTTTTTTTTGTTGATTTTTTTATTACAGTGCATTCAAATTCCAACCTTGACGTTTCCTGGGAGAGGAAAGTTGTCTTTAAAATGCCCTGGAATGCTACTTTTTCACCTGTCCAATGACTCACAGTAGGTCAGATTACAATGTGCAAATACACTCACACACACACACACTTTTGACTGGTAGTATACATTACAATTTTTGCCACTATAATGAATGATACCTGAAGTGGTGCAACTTGAAATTCTCTGTGATACAATCCAGTTTGTAGCATATAAAAACAACAATTCCAACAAACATTAAAATGACAAACATGAATATTAAAATAACAAAGAGCAACAAATGTCAATCAATTAATACACAGATATGAAAAAATAAAAAATGAGCTATCAGGAGAGATGAGCCATCACTTTTCTACGAAATCACACACTAGAATATCATTGATGGCCTTTTAGGCCAGTAAGTAATCGCCTAGCAACAACTGAGCAACTTAGCAATGCCATTTCAACAGCCTGGCAACCGCTCACAACCCCCAAACACCATGTAGGCCATAGGTTTGAAGGGGCAAGCACTACTTTCATTTTCGTCAGTAAATCAAGTTACTTACTCCCGTTTTCCCTTGATAACTGAAATCCTTGAGTTCTATTCTGGTCTTCGTTAAATCTGTTACATGAGGCCTTGGAGGCGGTGGATAACCTTACGGGTTCAACATGTACCATTTATATCATTCTCATAGAACATTCTCTCTCGCCTCGCCGTTCTCAGAAATAGAAGGCGGAGGAACGGAAAAATCGACACAGGCATAAAACATAAAACATTGCACTAGCTCAGAGATATTTTCTTACTCAGGCACCTAGAGTGTATAATATACAGTATATATATATATATATATATACATGTATATATATATATATATATATATAGGGGACATGATCTACATACCAGTCAAAAGTTAAATTTTTATTTCTAATTTAAAGGAATTAAAAGGACTCATTAATTTGATTAAAAGTGTCTGTAAAGATAATTCAATTTAATGTAAGATATTTCAATTTCAAATGAATGCTGTTCTTTTGAACTTTCGATTCAATTCTAAAAAAAAGCTTACTCAAAAATATGAAGCAGCACAAGTATTTTCAACATTTATAATAATCAGAAATGTTTCTTGTGCATCAAATCATCATATTATTCTGATTTCTGAAGAATCACTGAAGAAAATTCAGCTTTGATCACAGGAATAAATTACATTTTAAAACATTAAAATAGAAAACAGTTTTTTTTAAATATTTACTGTGTTTTTGATTAAATAAATGTAGCCTTAGTGAGCTTATAAGACTTTTTTCAAAAACAATAAAATAATAAACGAAAACCGACCCCAAACTTTTGAAATGTTTCGACTTCTTTCATAACATAAGACATGACCAAATATATTTTTAAGACATGAGTTTGTTACTAAAGTGTGAAAGGTGTTAGTTTAGTGGCACAATTTTTCTATGGAGTGTAGGGGGACCCCTGTTTAAATTATGACCACATATCTGTTTTTAAAAATGAATAAGAATTAATAAAAAAAGTTACTTAATTATTATTATTATTATTTTTTTTTAATCAAAGTTAAAAAACTTGCCAGCTGCCTTAAATATCCCCCTTGGCTTAGTAACTGAAAGAACATGTTTGAATGTGCTGTCTGTACTAATCTCTTCTGTGTGTGCTAATAGCAGCCGGACTCATAATAAGTGTGTGTGTTTGAAGCTGCCTGTGAAGCGCTGCTCCTCTGGCTAACTCGCACTGTTAAGCCCAGAAGGTAGAAGCCACATGAATAACCATGAATACTGCACACTGAAGCCAAGCTTTCCCCTTTCACTCACTCCGGTCTTCAAGCTCCGCCTGTGCTGCCCTTTGTGAGTGTTTGTGTGTTCAGATTGGGTACCAGCTCTCTTTCTCGGTATCTCTCTTTGCCTCCCCCTTCTCCTCCTCCTCCTCTTCCCTCGGTCGCTCAGAGATTGAGGGAGAATGTGGGTAAAGCAAAAGAGGCAGGCGTGTTTTAACAGATGGCTCTTGCTGTCCCGATTCAGCCAGCTCACTGCCTCTGGTACAGCTTGAACAGAGAGAGAGAGAGAGAGAGAGAGAGAGAGTGCGCACGCAAGGTAGTTCAGGAAATTGAAACCGCTTCAGTTCAAACTTTTTTCTTTTTTTTCACTCGTCTGTTTTAAAACTTTCCTCCCAGCCTCTCTCGCTCTCACTTCTGTGTTGACAGACACTTGAAAGTTTGACAAACTTTTCAGCAATGCAGTGACCACAGTGCAACAGGCTGCAGGAAGACAGATTTCAGGACAGAAGAGTCCCCCCTCCCCTTCTAAATCCCTCCCAAGCCAGTCCGGCTTTCTGTTTTGGGGTCTCCCGCCGCAGGACAGAAGGGGACAAACTGCCACCTGCCTCCCCTGCAGCTGTGTGTGAGGTAGGCTTCTCTGACTTACCCTATTCTCTCTCTCTCTCTCTCTCTCTCTCTCTCTCTCTCTCTCTCTCTCTCTCTCTCTCTCTCTCTCTCTCTCTCTCTCTCTCTCTCTCTCTCTCTCTTGCTCAACTGATGTAACCACACACTGGGAGTTCTAGCGTGGCGATCTGACGTTCCACAGTTGCGATTACAGGTTTCCCTCCCTCTTTCCCTCTCTGTTCGCCCTTCACTTTTGCACTCTTAAAGGAGCAGTTTGGCTTGTGTTCCTGGGCATACAGTGCATGTGTAATTTTGCTATGTGGGCGCATGGGTGTTGTTGTTGTTATTAGTTCACTGACAGACTGATTGACTGACTGGAGTGTTACTGAAAGAAAGGGAGGGTCAGAGTTACACCCTGTTCCCTCGACAGACATGCACATGTGTCAAACAGAGGAAACCTGCTGATGATAGGGTTGAGACATCCTGAGACCTCCAAAAGCTTACATGCTCTTTTACGCTTTATATGTCATCTTGGGACACGGATACTCGTTCTTGATTTTAGATTGATAGTAAAGTCCTCAAAAATTGTGAAATATTACAAGTGAGGTGCATCTTGGGATGCTTTTCAAATGCATGCTGGGCACTTATTGGCTGTTCACTATTCACTCTAACTTGCCCAATTCATTATTTGTTTTAAATTACAATAAATTCTAGAGTGTCCAATTATTATTTAAAAAAATAAATAAATAATTAAATACCATTTAATAACTTGTGAAGATTAGTCAAATTAGTCTGATGACATAGGGATGCGTGTGACTTTTCAGTTCCCGCTGGATTTCGTTCTCTGCTTATAAGCTAATAAAATAAGTTAATAAAGCCTGAACCTCGTCTTCGGCCCATCAGTCTTTTTTTTTTTTTTTTTTTTTTTTTTAAAAGACTTATAAAATGGTGGTTTAAATAAAATGCTGCGTGGAGTCAACCAATCAAAATGCTGCTGCGTAGAGTCAACCAATCAAAATGCTGCGTAGAGTCAACCAGTCAAAATGCTGCGTGGAGTCAACCCACCAAAATGCTGTGTGGAGTCAACCAGTTAAAATGCTGCGTGGAGTCAACCAATCAAAATGCTGCGCAGAGTCAACCAATCAAAATATTGGTTGGAGTCAACCAATCAAAATTCTGCCTAGAGTCAACCAATCAAAATGCTGTGTGGAGTCAACCAATCAAAATGCTGTGTGAAGTCAACCAGTTAAAATGCTGCGTGGAGTCAATTAGTTAAAATGCTGCGTGGAGTCAACCAATCAAAATGCTGCGTAGAGTCAACCAATCAAAATATTGGTTGTAGTCAATCAATCAAAATGCTGCGTCGAGTCAACCAGTTAAAATCCTGCGTGGAGTCAACCAGTCAAAATGCTGCGTTGAGTCAACCAGTCAAAACGCTGCGTGGAGTCAACCAATCAAAATGCTGCGTAGAGTCAATCAATCAAAATATTGGGTGGAGTCAACCAATCAAAATGCTGCGTAGAGTCAACCAATCAAAATGCTGTGTATCAACCTGTTAAAATGCTGTGTGGAGTCAACCAATCAAAATGCTGCGTGGAGTCAACCAATCAAAATGCTGCGTAAAGTCAACCAGTCAAAATGCTGCGTGGAGTCAACAAATTAATGATGTGTGAACTCAACCAATCAGCATGTTCAGCGCTCAAGTCCCACTCCCAAAAGTTCCTGAACTTTGAAAAAGTACTACCCCGTGAGCAGGGACTTTCTGAGGAGGAAATTTTTACCTGGAACTTCATTTGTATCCTGGTTCCTGGTTCCTGGTTCCTGGTTTCTGCGGTCGAAACACACCGAGTACCACCCCAAAGCTCCTAGTTCCTGGGGAAACGTCCTGTGGTGGCTTATATGTTATTAAATGTTGTCATTACTGTAACAGCCAGTCAGTATTTACACTGATTTACAATTTTCACACACAAAAAAGTTTCCCTTTCAAGCGCAAAATTTATGTGAGTAGAAAATTTAAATGAATCATCCAAGGTGATTTACTAAGGTTTGCGCTCGTCAATGTGCTGGTATTTGCGGCATTATTTACGCCCCCCAAAAAAACAAACAAAAAAAAAAACATATCTTTAATCATTGTATTTGTGTTGCTAGTAGATCACCCCACAACTGATTATCAGCGGCTTTGCTTATTTGCGTCCAGACGCTAATTTGGTGATTGGTCGCAATTGTGTTGGTCATTATGGAAATGATCTGTTCTTTAATTTGTGTGTCGTCAGAAGATCACGTGCAAAACTTTCCTCCCATCAGCTCTATTATGAAATTACGCTCTTGTGCTAATTTGCCCTGTTTGACAAATCTGGGCCTTTTTTAGTAAGGGTTTTAGTCATTGTGATTTTAATTGTACATTATTGTAATTTAACTCATGAACACTCTCTGTGGGAAACACTTCAAAGCAATAGTTAATGAGCTTGAAACGACTTTCTGAAAATGTCGAACCTTTTTTATAAGTAGCCTATCATTCGTTCAAGAATTGGGCTATACTTATATTTGTTGTTGCATGCAACCACATATTTGTCTTTTCATTATTTCACCTAGTCTTTCTCGTGAAATTCGATTCCGACGGCAAACTCTCAACTCAGCTAAATATTTTTGTGGTGCTGGATTTAAATAGCTCTGCAGAATAAGCTGCATATCTTATTTTATGCTATGATAAGGACTACTTTAGATGATATCTTGCTAACTAGACTTGCTGAGCCAACAAAACCCTGTCTTTCACTTCTTTTTTTTTCAAAGGAAGAGGAAATGACTAAGGAAGCAGCGCCACCGCTAAACTAAACCATCATCTAATTTCGCTGTCGACTGATGATTTCAGTTGCTAATGAATGTACAAGCATGGCCGTTGAAGATTAGCGTCCGCTTACAAGCGGTCTTTGATAAGTGTGTGTAGCAGCAGCAGTCTGAGAGGTGGTGTCCGTGTCTTTACTTTGGCTCTGTGTTTTTGAGTGCTGTGTGTTGATTTTGGGACTCTGACCGTGGTTAGCCTTCCTTGGCCTAGCCAATATTTACTTTGATTGCTTACATTTGGTTAGTAAATTCCCACGATTTTGACAGGTGGCGAAGCGGGACCGGCAGATTGGACTCTTGAGTTCTCTCTCTCTCTTGCGTTATCTCTCCTTTTCTGCTCTCCTCCTGCTGTTAACCTCCATGGAGGGAGGTGCTAGGACCGAAAGGAAGTCACTGCACTCAGTCAAGGCTTATGTTGTGGCCAGTGTCAGTGGAAAATAACTGTTTCATAGGGGATTGGCTCTGATGCCCAACAACCTTTCTGCCTTTCTCTTTATAGCAGAGGCAGATGCTCGACTTCTGCTGAATGTGTTTAAGCCTAGAGCGGAAACTTCAGCTAATTACCCAAACCAACAACAAGGAACCGAGGTAAGATAATTCAATTTATGGGTTTGTGTGAAGGTGAGGTGGTTTTCTCTTTGAGTTTAGACTAGACAACTGGGCCTATAAACTTTGCTCTTCATTATTTTTTATGTGAAGAAAGGAGTATAGCATCATTATTTGGCTGTTTTGGAAGTCATATTCAAAAGTTATTGTTGAGATTTTTAAGGCGTATCTGACTTTTAGTTGTTTTCAGAAGAAAAAAAAACCAACTCATGAAATCTAAATGTCACAAACCAAGTGATTGATTTTTTTTCTTTAAATCTTTCTTCTCTCAAAGCAGTCAGATCACATTCTAGGTATTTGGATGCAAATGTTTGGGAAAAGATAAAAAAAAAAGAAAAATATAATAATTTTCGTCAGTATGGATGTAGATTTTCACAATTCTGGATAAATTGAGAATCACGATTAGTTTTGTTTCAAATTGAGAAACGAAATTTGCTAATGAATGTACAAGCATGAGATGTCAAACAGAGATTTCTGACCTTTGCCACTGCTTTGTTGTTGTATTAAGGTCATACCCATGATTGACATCTGACCTTTCTAGTGTCGTGAGACACCGTGTGACACATTAACAGCGTCTTTTTATCTATAAAGGAGTTTGTGAATCCTCACAGAATCTTCTGTAGGCTGCTTATTGAATGTTTCTTCTTTGAATCATTTATTTTCCTCATTCTGGTTTCAGAGAGACATTATCACTTTGTCTTTTCTTTCTTCTGATTTGGCTCATGGTCTTTCCCGTCTGACTGTTTTCTGTTTTTGACCACACACTTTCTAGTAATGTGCTGATGCGAATCCTGTTCAGCAAGTGTTTGCTCTGCCTGGGCTGAATTCCTCTCTGCTGTAAATGGGGCACTGTGTCTAATTGCTCACACAAACACACTTACTGTAAAAAGGCCACTGACACCAACACACACACACACACACACACACACACTTTTGACTCACAAGTGTGTTTGTGAGTCTATTTGTTTATTTATTTAGCCCTTGACACATTCACCTTTGGCTCTTCTGTAAAGTTGTTTCGAAACATTATGTATTTTGAAAAGTGTTATACAAATAAACATAAAAATATATAAATATATAAAACATTTTATTGTAGCTGAAGACCACAAACAGAAATCAACAGGTTAAAGAACACTTAAACAAGGAACTTTTGCCTATAATGCCAAAATACCATAGAAAAACAACTAGCCTAACAAATATAAAGTTCAGGCATTATTAAAAACACTCATTAATTAAAAAATGAATAAGTAAACAAATTAGCAGTCACATAAATAAGTTCAACTGAATAGAGATACTACTGAAATAAACAGTGTTTTAAGATTTTCAGGTATTCTGGTACAGAGACTGTAATCAGATGTACTACAACTAACTACAAATGTAGTTAGTTACAAAAGTTATTCAGTCAAGAACCGCTGTTTGATTAACATTATAATGACGGCAGCAGGATTATTAGGCTGCTGTCAGTTTAAGAGCTGCATAGATTCAATTTACTGTAAAGGGCCGTACACATCGGGACGAATATCGGTGCGCGTTATTCGCCAGTGTTTTTCAGCATGTTTTTTTGTGTTCACACCCAAACGATTTTCACTGACGATGAGCCAAGTGAACATGCAGATTCATTTCCTGACATTATTAATGTAAATAGAAATAGTCCTATGTTGTAGTCGCTGTCACGTTTATCATGTATTTCTTTATGTTCCGACACCAAAGAGACCAGCAGCTCTACATTCATCTTGCCTTTCGTCTTTTGCGTCTTATTTCTTACCGGCAGTGTAGACGCTACCTGGCGTGTATCTTATTCGTTATCTACCTGACATACATCTTATTATGTATGTGTACCTCAGCAAGACCTTTTTGTGTCTGAGCACCCCCAAGTTGTGTTTTACTGTAAAACACGTGAGCAAAAGCGCAAATCTCATTGGTCGAATAGTCAAACCAAAAAAAAAAAAAAAAAAAAAACGAACCCGAGGCATTTTTTTTAAAAATGACGCTTTTACGCGTCGGTGTGCACACTCACATTGGCGCCCTTTGTTTAGTCACGAGGCGTTAAACGTCAGTGAATATGGCACACAAAATTTGTCCCGGTGTGAGCAGGCCTTAACACTTGTGTTTTCTTTGCGTTCAAAGCGAGGGATAAAAGTAATGACTAAAATGGAAACTGGAAGAGTCTAATATTTTCTTAATAATAAATTATACACCATTTATTTATAACAATAATACAAATAAAAAATAAAACAACACATTTTATTCTTTTTTATAATAAAATTTGATTCTTTTTTATAATTAATTTATGAGCAAGTTGCAGATATGCAATAATAAAATATGCAGATTTAGTGCTATCTGGTTTAAAAAAAAGAAACCAAATTTTAGACAGGCTAATTATTACTGTTATTAGCTTTTGCATTTAGATGTATATTTAGACATGATGAAAGACAACTTTCTGTCATCATTTAGATAAATAAATACATAAATTGGGGGTGGACTTCATTTGCAGTGCACTAACAACATAGTTTTATAGAATTAGGTTAATACAATATATATATATATATATATATATATATATATATATATATATATATATGAGCCCGGTCTCATCCCAAAGCGCCATATAGGACGCTTTTGCAAAATCGTAAATATCCAACGCACATGGCACCCTTTAACGTCTAATGAGACGCTTCGGTTAATGGTTAAGTTTAGGTATGGTGTAGGGTAAGGGTTAGACCACTAGGGGGCGCCTTCTGCCCAAATATATCTGCGTCTCATTTCACGTTTAAGGGTGCCATGTGCGTTGGATATTTACGCTTTTGCAAAAGCGTCCTATATGGCGCTTTGGGATGAGACCGGGCTCATATATATATATATATATATATATATATATTGATGTACTTGACAAATGATATCTTCACACTGATTTGAAAGTGACCTATAACATCCTATGACATTTAATTCATATAAATTTAAATGATGTCTGTCACACACTCTCACACCACATGGACTTGTTATGTTTTGTCATCACCTGCCTTCCTCACTCATTTGATGTCATGGACACTAATCACATTCAGCTGTGCACTCATCAGTCATTAACACATGTAAGTGTGTGTGTTGCCCTTCGTTTGCCATACTGTTGGAACTATTGTAAATAAACCTTTGAACTTAATCGTATCAGTCTTCCTCATCGGTCTGCCAGCAACCACCCATGACAATGTGGCTGTTGTAGTTCGTGGTCATAGTGTAAATGTGGCATTTTCAAATGCTTTTGACATAGTTATTTTATATTTTACACCGATTGAAATTTCTAGCCATACAGGCTAGGGGAACTCATATTAATGTTGAAAAACCTCAGAAAGTGAAAATTTTATGTTATGGGACCTTTAAAACTAAAATGGTTTTCTGCGTTTTGGATATACACCAAACTGACTTTAATTTGTCTGGCAAAAGTTTTTCAGTTCTAATGAATATTTTAAAACAAAACTCATTCACCCCAACTTCCTCTTTTTTTCCCCCTCAAGAATTCCAAAGAAGCTTTTTCTTCTTTACGATCTCATGATGGTTTTACCACTTTGACATATTGCCTCAGAGAAAATATAATTTGTAGTGTTTGGATAAATATGTGACACGCCAATGTCAGCGGTTAAACTTCTGCAACAGGAATCCATTAATAACATTTTTATGCAGTGTAGATTTACAATGTGCAAGTGCAGACCTGCATATGTAAACCATTTCAGGGGGTTTCTGCAAAGATTCGTGAATAATGCAACATATAATGTCTTTTAAGTGTTTTATAGCTAAAAGTAAGCAAAGCATAGCTGTGTACTGTAACACACTCATGTGCTCAGAGCACACCTCAGCAGTGAACACTAACAGCAAAAACATCTTAAATATTTTAAAAGGGAAGACACACTATCACACTGACGCAAATGGACTTCAGTAGGGCTTGGAGGTCATTTGAGGAGAAGAATGAGTGTGTGAGTCATAGACGAAAACAATACAGATAGGAAGATGGAGATTGTGTGTTGTATTAAGGAGGGCTGTAATATCTGGATTAAGTGATCTGTTAGCATTCTCATTCATCTCAATTTGCTGTTGATTTGTCTGGTTCAAGACACACAAGTGCACAGCTTGAAGTCTGCCATCTTTGCTCATGGGAAATCAGTTCCAGGTACATTTGTGCCAGTTATTCAAGCAGTCATTGTGCAATCAAATGCCTTTGCCTAGGCCTTATTATTACGCAGCAGTTCATGAAATGAAGGTGAAAGCGTTTTTGCAAGTGCTTAACGTAATAATGCATTCAACAACATTGTTTGTTTAACATAGCCTAGCTTCATTTTCTTTTAAAAACACACATAGAATATTGTTATATTTCATGATCACTATGCCATACAAAAGATTTCTTCACATTATGTTACTTTACCTACGGTTCAATAAAAACTCTTTTTTTTTATTGAAATTTGAAAGTAGTGATGCACCAATCATGATTCTTTCATGGTTGATTTTGATTTTTTTTAATTATTATTATTATTATTATTTTAAAACAAATTGGCAGATTCCAATATCGTTTTTTTTTCTTTAAGCAAATTTAGTTTTGATTACTTGCTCAATAACAGACCAAACTGGCCTTAAATAAATGCATAAATGTAGTCATTTAAATTTAGAGGCAACCACTGCGTTTCCATCATGATCCACACAATTATGCTAGCATTACCAGTCGTTTTTGGTAACACTTTATTTCGATTGTCCACTTTACACATTCTACTAACTAAAGGTAACTTTGCAACTACATGTCAACTAACTCTCATTAGAGTATTAGTAAACTACAAGTCAACTTATTCTACTAACACTTAACCATCAGTAACAGTCTACGGTACTACTGTCTCTAATGAGAGTTAGTTGACATGTAGTTGCAAAGTTACATGTACTTATAGTTAGTAGAATGTCTAAAGTGGACTATCGTAATAAAGTGGAACCGTTGTTTTTGCAAATTA